AGTAGGCATCTCACCATAGGGAAAGGGCTCCAAAAAGCCAGCTCATAAGCCACAAACAGATGCAGGGTCCCTAGCTGTTGGTCTAGAGTCTGGGAGTTCTGTGAGCTGTGAACTCCGGTGTCTCTGTGGGTTTCTCCATCATGAACTTGACCCCCTCACATTGCTCATGCAATACCTCCTACCTCTCTTCGACTAGAATCCCAGAGCTCGGCCCAGTGCTTGGCTGTGGCTCTCTGCATCTACTTCCATCAGTTACTGGATGAAGGGTCTATGATGACAGGGTAGTCACCAATCTGATTACAGAACAAGGGCTATTCAGGCACCTTCTCTGCTATTGGTAGGAGTCTTAGCTTGGGTCTTCCTTATGGATTCCTGGGAAGTTCCCTAGAACCAGGTTTCTATAATGGCCCTCTCTATCAAAATATCTTTCATTGCTCTCCCTCTCCATCCCTCCCCTCTCTAGACTATCCTGATCCATCCTGTTCCCATCCCCCATTCCCTCTCCTCTACCCCTGCTCCCTTCAGTTTATCCATCAGATCTCATCTATTTTCCCTTTCCAGGGTCATCCATTTGTTCTTCTTAGAGTCTTTCTTGTTACGTAGATTCTCTGGGGTTGTGGATTGTAGCCTGATTATTCTTTACTTTGCATCTAATTTCCAAAGTGATTGTATAATTTTGCACTTCCACCAGCAGTGGAGGAGTATTCCTGGGGGTGAACTTTCAAGGAACAGTACTTTATGACAACGACAACATTAGCATCACCCACGAGGACACTGGAAATATGATAGTTTCATGTCACATGAAAGATATCCTGATCCAGAAGTTTGGAGTCTTAATAATTCTTCAAAGAATTCTAATAAGCACTCTAGTTTGAGACATGATTTCTTATTTTCTTTTGTTAGGCATAACATTTTACACCTTTGTAGGCTAATGACAGTAATCTAATGCATCTATACAAGAAACAATAAAAATAAGATAATAAGCATTTCCAGCTCTTCAAATGTTAGTAATTTGCATATTTTGTGAACTTTTTACTCTTTGAGATATCTGTAAATTTATTATAGATTACTGTAATCAAGCTACCAAATTTTGCTGCAGAAAGCCATAACTAGAATCCTTGATAACCTGATTTGATCCCTGGGGTCAACATAGTAGAAGGAAAGACCCTCTGACTTCTACACCTATGAAATATCATACGTGCACACACACACCCGCACCACCACGCATACATAGAAATGTAATAAAAGTAAAGCCATAACTCATTCCTCATATGTGTGTTATGGTACTCTTAGTATGACTTGTTTCTGTTCCATTCCCCACTTGCATGTCTCTGTTTCTAGTGACCACTTCTGAACTTTGTTCTTTTATGATCCTTAGTCTTTCTAACCCTAAATCACTTGTTTTTCCTACTATGAAATGCTATACCTATTTTTAGTGTCTTTGCAACCCTGTCTTCTTTGAAACTACTTCAGTGTTATACCCCTGTGAAAGTCTCTAAACAAGACACCTGGATATATTGATCAATTTGATGAATAAATGTAAGGAAGGGATGGATTAGTGACAGAGCTTAAAGCTTGAAGACCCATTAAGGATATTTTGTTTTAGTGCTTTTCATACCTGCTTTAGATGTCCTAAAGATTTCTTACTGGTTTACCAAGGTTAGCTATATTGCCTGGGAGAGTAAGCATGTTGTAGATTACCGAATCCCTTGTTGCGAGCACAAATCTGAAACTAGGGATACCTGTGGAATTATCCAGGTTTGTAACTCATTGCAAAAAAATTAGAGCAGGTATACATGACTAGAAATAGAAACAGAGACAGTTTATTTAAGAAAAGAACTCCTAACAATGGGAGCAGCAGAGGGAAAAGTTTAAAACTCCGTGGACTGTAAGCCCCTTTCACAGCAACTTCCTCTTCTTGAGCATGCCCCATATGTTGTAGGAAGACAAGGTGTGAAATGTCTTCCAGTCCTTTTAATCAAATGCCTACATACTGATAAACTTGAGGTAGTTTTTTTTTCAGGTTGTATTGTCCCGTCATACAATTTGTTAGCCCTATTATCTCTTTTCCTCCCCAAGTTACCTAGAACTGCTTGACTTTTATTTTCCACAGATAAGGGGTGCTTACTGTGGTTCTGTTTGTAGAAGATATTCAATGGTCAAAATTAAATTTTAACTATGGAAACCTACAGAGGACAGAAGATATCACCAACTTTACCCACATGTGAACTCTGACAGTTCCAACAATGACCAACCAACCTTACCCGGGGTGAACCCTGATAGTTACAACAATGACAAGCCTCATACGACGTACCCACTGGTGCAGTAGTAAAACTAATGTCATGGGATCAACCAGCCGTTTTTTTATGATTTTATTTAAATCCAATTCTACAACATGAAACACAAACTTGGCAAAATTTTGGGGGCCAAGTATTATGACTGAGCAGATCATATGCCCAAGGAGAGAACTTACTGTTATTACTCTGCCAAATGGACATAAATAGTAGTAAGCTGACTTGTAATGACTTAACATTATAAACATGGATTAATGCATCTTCTCAACCCTCAACAGAGAAGCTTCCATTTGTAATGGATGGTGATTAATATAGAGACCCACAAGCAGTCAAGGTGCAGAAAATAAGAAACTGTGGAATGCTGGTCCCTAAACAGAACATTTACATCACACTCCCTGCTCCAGAATCTCAGAATCACGGTGGAAGTAGGGCAGAAAGATTGTAAGAACCGGGTGTGTGTGTGTGTGTGTGTGTGTGTGTGTGTGAAGATGACTCCAAGAAAGCAGTGTTTTCTGGACAATGCAAATCAGTGACACCAATGAATTTATAGAAGCCAATATAGCTTGCACAAGACTTGTATGACATCAAGCAGACAAAATTTCACATAGAGAAAGGACGTGGATGTGAATTTCCACCATAACTAAGGAGCTATTGCCAATTGATAGCTGCAAGGAGAGGTGCAGTCCCTGGTGTTGATTACTATTCAGTGGAAGGCCATACATCCAAGCATATATTGGCAACACAAATCGGACTTGGTGGGTTTACTAAAACAAGAAGATAGAGCTGAGTGAGTTGGGAAGAGTTTATGGATCTGGGAGGAATGAGGGAAGGGAATGAATATGATTAAAATACACTGCACAAAATTATCAAAGAAAAAATCAAAGTGAAAAAAATTAAACGTGCACAATCATCTTAAAAATACGGAAGCCTAGTAATTTTACAAATGTTACTGTTAAAGGTCCCCCAGAGGTAAAATAATATGTTAAGGATCACTGTGTGTCCTTCAGAAACAACCAGAATGTAAAGCCAGAACTGTTGAAGCATGCTTCCTTTATTTATGTCTTAGTGACTTTTCTAATACTTGGAAGAGACACCAGGACAAAGGAAACTTATATAAGAAAGCATTTAATTGAGAGTTTACTTACAGTTCCAGAGACTTGGTCCATGATCATCATGGCAGGAAGCAGACAGGCATGGCACTGGAGCAGTGACTGTGAGCTTTACATCCTGATTCACTAGCAGCAGGGAAAGAAAGAGAGAAAGGAGATGGAAGGAGGGAGAGAGAGATAGAGAGATAGAGTGAATGAGAGAGAGAGAGAGAGAGAGAGAGAGAGAGAGAGAGAGAGAGAGAGAGCACCTGGAATGGACTTTTTGAAACCTCAAAATTACTCCCAGCCATGCCTCCTAATCCTTTGTAATCTGTCTATCAACTGGTGACTAAGTATTTAAACATATGCGCCTATTGGGGCAATTCTTATTCAAATCACCACAATATGCCATACATTCATACCATTTGTGTTAATAAGAAAGTTACTATTTAGTCTCACAAACTCTAGGCTGGCATAGAATTCAATACGATGCCAAAGATGACCTTGAACTTCTGATTTTCCTTCCTCTGTGCCCTGCTGGTATTACAGACATATGCCATAATGCCAAGTTTTCCATGGTGCTAGAAATTGGTCACAGGTCTCTGTGTATAGTTTTCAAACTCTATACCCACTAAGCTACTTCACCAACCCTAGTTTGATAGCTTTATTAAACATTAAGGCAGTCATCTCTGTCATTTTACTATGTACCAGTCACCATGTTCCCATATACAATTGCATTTCACTCCTTATAATAGTCCTACAAAACAGTTTCACAAGGGATGAAACTTATATTTGGAAAGATTAACACACTTTTCCAAGTTTTCATTATCTGGAAATGGCAAAATTGTGATTTCAATCAAGAACACCAGACTCACTTTTCATGTTCCTTGCAATGTAGTTCAAATGTTAATTCTCATATATTAAAAAAAAGAATGAAAGAAAGAAAAGAATAAAGTTCCATAGCTCATAGTCCAAATCATGTCTGTTGCTTTGATTTTATAAATTTTTAGTGCTCAAAGGTAGCTAGATCATATGAGCTATCACTATAGTTTGAAAAATTATAGCACTGAGAAGCTATGCTAGAAAAACAAACTATATACTAAGTAACATTTTACGTTGAAACTTGCCAACCTGTGGTCTACAGGCAGCTGTTTAAAACTGTATTTCAAGGGTCTCCCAAGAGAAAGGACCAGGAATGCACAGGATTTAAGTGAGAGGTGCTAACCACTTACGCTCTCAGTGAAATCTGTGACTAAATGATACAAGTCTGGAAAACCTGCCTCGCTTGCCTTCTGTAGTCTTTACTGTGTTGACTCAAGAGCATCTATAATGACCTGCTTCTTGTGTTTCATGAGTCAGAGCACAGACCTTATCCCTTCCCCTCCCTTCCCTGTCATAAATGCCTTAGAGCCTGGACTTGGATCCCAGCTTAATGGGTTTGGTCACTGCCTTCCCCCTCTGGCTTCAAGGTCCACATGTATGTCAGGCAGGTAATCCCAGGTGCTGCTATGAACCAATCCAGTTGCTGTTGGTCACTGCGTGTTTCTGAGGTAGCTGAGTCTGGTGGCTCCTCCCTTCTCTTTACTCATACTTCCACTTCCTTTGGTCTATGCTGCAATGCACAGGGCAGCTCCTCAGTGGCTGAGGATCCTGAAAACCTCTCGTTGTTTATGATTCAGACTTTGCCCTACTAGCTGAGTGGGACCTTCAGTCTTATGAAAATCCTCTTTCGTGGCCCCTACTCCAGGTGCTTCAGGTTCAGAGCAAGGACGTGTATTCAGCCTGAGTGAAGAAGACAATCTCAAGTAAAGACACCAGGTAGTAGACTGTCATCTTATCTGTACCCTTCCTGGGTCTGGGGGGTCTGGGTGTTAGAAGTAGTCCTTCCCAATAAGACATGGGGTATTCAGCTGTATCGGCATGACTCACTCCTCACTCATTCTTTTCTTATAGTTCTTTCTCAACTGTTCTTGTTACATAGAACACACCTTCATAGAATCCTAGATTTGAGATTTTACAGAGATGAATGGATTCCTATCTACTTTAAGGCTTTTATCATACAAATAGAAAGAGGCCCAGTAAAGCAAGGGCTTAGGCCAATTTCACTCAGCTAACTATTGCCAAAGTCAGAAGAGCTAGGACATAGGTTCTATTTAGTCCAGTGACTTTTCACTGCCCCTTCTTTGCAGAAGGGACAGAAATGGTATTTGGCTAAAAAATAAATAAAATCCAGACTACAGTGTTTTAAGATATTGTGGCATTACTATTGTCACCATCATTATCAACAGTTCTGCCAGTGATCTATACTCCTTGTCCTCCTATTTCTTAACCCAGGCAGTTGGAATCTGCCTGCGGGCTTTGGCTGGCTACACTGAAGATGCATTTTGATCTCAGCTCAGCAAAGCCAACTAGCAAGCTACTTAACAGCCCACCTCCTTGTAATTCCTCCGGAGATCCTCGCCAGGATTTGGAAAACACCCGGATGTTGTCAAAGAACCACCCCGGGTTTTGTACCAAACCGGCGGGAACAGGACATTCCAGTAGTTTAGTTTGTGGAAAAGAGGGCACCCAGCACTGTCCCCTCCCCCCTTTCACTCACCCCAGAAATCCTCGCCAGACAGGAGCCCTAGATTTAATTCATGGGAAGAGCTTTGTAACCTTGTTTACTAAGTAAACAGGGCTGGCAGGCTCGGGCTGGGGTCTGCAGTTCAGCATTGATGGGCCGCTGACATGAATTTGGAAGGAAGGTGGAAAGAAAGGAAGGAAGGGTTTTCCTTAACAAAGGTAAGCTTCTTTTTCTTTTGAAACAACCTCACTTGCCTTCCTATGCATAATGTTTATTCAGTTGGTTTTAGAAGAGTCCAGGGCCACTGGGAAAGAAAGTAGGTGGACTGCAAGTTGGAGGAAGTTTGGTTAGGTGTACAGGGAAGTAACAGGAGACAATAGACTGCCTTCCTTTTGTTCCTCTAGCCAAAATGGCCAGGATTTCACTGGTTCCACTGTTTCTGAGACAATCTTGAAGTCATCGAGAATAATTCACTTTACTCTCCAAACAGCCTGTTTATCTTCTGTCTCTCAGGTTGGGAAGTTTTACTGAGCTCATGGAACTGTAAATTCCAGGAATAGGAGGTCACAACCCTTAAAAACAACTCTGCTAGCTTTCATATTTTTCAAACAAGATAGGCACAATCAGAGTCTGTAAATGGTAATTGAGTCATACTAAAACAGTGAATTATTTTAAGAATCATTTTAAAGAGTACTTAGTGTTTAATGACCAAAATTTATCAGGCATGGATTTGAACTCTGGCCATGCTGATAACTGGCTGCATGATTTTGAACCAACATTTCACCACTGTGGTCTCAGTTTTCTAAGTATATCACAACTACTTACACACACACACACACACACATACACACACACACACAAAACTGGTCTTTAATAAAACTGGTCTCTAATGGTTTTGTAGATATGTAAGTATTTAGTTTACTCAGTTTCTGATTACTGAGTATCTGCCATACTATTTGTATGTAGTATACAAATAATTTGTATATTGCCTCAGATATTCAGCATTTGTTTGAGTCTCAAAACAGTCATGTGAAACAATTAAAATAATCAGAATCCCCATTTTGAGGATGAGAAAGCAGAGGCTCACAGAAGTGAAAACAATTTACTGAATGATAACTCATACAGGCAAGAGATGGAATTTGAATGAGGGTCATTAACATCACTATTTTTCTATCAACAGAGTGACAAAATGTTAAGAAAGCAGGGAACCAAAAGACGAGCCTTGACAGGTTGCTGAGAGGCTGGAGGCAGGGCTCGCTTAAGATAGCTCCAAATTCCTAGTTAGTTTAGTGACTTTTTAAATCTGGGATGAGCTTTTGAAACCCAATGTAGTTAACCAAGACAAGACTAAAGGGAGAAAAAAAGCATTATCACATTAAAGGAGCAACTTGCAAATTCTAGGGAAAACCTCGATGCAAATTGCCATGGTTGATAAGGCCTAGGCCAGGGGACCATAGTAACTGGAAGGAGAGGCTTGGCTTTCTACTCAGGTTGAAGCAAGGTTTCGGTGTACAGTGATTAAATTCTACTGCATTCCAAGTAGCCCAGAAAGTATCCTTAGCTGTTCTTTACCCCGAATGGCTCTAACTTTTTACTTCTTAAAGAAACTTCCTCTTTGCTTGTACCTAGTACTTAAGCTCACCTTACTTATCTCATTGCTTGTTTTCCTTTGCCCACACTGGTTTGGCTCTTCTCTGCAGGCCCAGCAGCAAGAAACATGTCATAGCTCTGCTGAAAAATTTTCAGGGGGTTGTCATGTCTTTCACCTATTTTGGTCTTCATAAGAACCATTGAGATGTCCAAGGTATAGATTTTCACTATTTAAGAAACAAGGAGCTTAGGTTCAGGAAGCCACATAACTTTCTCAGTGTCATATAATAAAAAAAACAGTGAATACGGAAGTGGATTCTCTCTCTCTCTTTCTCTCTCTCTCTCTTTATTGGTACTTGGATACTTTCCACATTCATCATGAAATGTCTAAGTGGTTCCAAAGGAAGTTTATGGGTTCTTCCTTTCCTCTGCCCTTAAAGTATATGATAAAAACCAAAGTAAACAACATAAATGACAACACCAATGACAAATTCAGTCTCAAGGCAGAAAGATAGGAGGGAAGTCAGTAATTTAAAGGAAGAAAAACTAGTACTTAAAAGATGCTTGATAAGTTCTAGATTCTATAACCATTTATCTTATTTAAACACAAAACAGATAGTCCTAGCAACTAAGTTTATCTGATGCTAAGTTCTTGTTCCATATATATACATATTCGAAAGACAGAGACACACAGAGGCAGAAAGACAGAGACAGCAGTTTAACCTGGACCTTACAATATAGCTCAGATTGGCTCTTGAGCTCCTGAACTTCCTGCCTCACCCTTCACCCCCTTGAGTACTAGAATTATAGGTATGTGTCACCGTAACTGACCCAAGTTTCTTCCAAGAAGAGAATGTCATCCTGGAATGTGTGCATTTTATAGCACTGTACGAGTACTTCTGTACATTGAATGTATTCCTGTTGTGTACAATGTATACATGTCTGTCATTATCAATAAAATTATAAGCTTTTGGCTATGAGTAATTTCCTTGCTTGTGCAACAACATGGATTTCATTCCCAGAACCAGAAAGGAAAAAAAAAGAGAAGACAAATAAACAGACAAAACAGGCAAATCTTTGTGATAGTGGTTGGTTTTATGTTCAAATCTATTTTCTCAATTTTAATAATAATAGCCACTATTACTTTCTCAGAACTACCTTGTATACATAAGCACTTTTGTGTGCTTTATACAGGTATAGATTGCTATTTATTTAATCCTCCCAACTCTATGAGACAGCAAATAGTATTAAAAATGAAGACTGGTAGATTCAGGCTTTGTCTAAGAGGTGTGAGTCCAAAGCTTCTGCACTGCATGCAAAACATGGAAATCAATCCATATCTTACAGGACTGTTGCAGATATGAAAAGCACATTGTGAAGTGAATGCTGCTGTGTTCTATGCTATCTAGACTTTGGGATTTTAGTCATCATTTTCAAAGTTTGAATGTTTGTTCATTCTTTGCTAAAGGTTTGTACTGTGTCCCCAGACAGTTCCTAGACTATTAGGTGAGACTGCACTCATGGAACTCTTACCTGTGACTGTTTTCTCTCTAGGTAAATAAGTTGAAGGCACAACTTCCTTGCTTGTAACTCCTTGAGAAGGAAGTTTGAACGAATTCCCGGTGACATTCAGACGTCCATTGAACAAAGGCTTCTCCTTCCAGGTTGAGGTTTCTTAAGGAATGGCTAACTGTGTTTCCATGCATAGTATTGTTTGTCGGTACATGTGACTGTACCTGTGTTTCATCGTAAAAGTGAGTATCGGCATCATATGAAAGAAATGAGTCTGTGAGAACCTTTTAAATACCAGATTTTTCATAGTTATGCACTTATGTATTTCCATTAGATTATAAAATATCCATAACTTCTACAATGTAAGTATTGTATGGTTCAGCTCTGGATGTTTCACTGTTTTATAGATGAGAAACTGGGCTCATTAAAGTAAAGAAACTTGACTGACATCACTATTCAAACTAGTACTGGAAGCTAGACTGGAGCAAACAGATGGGAACACGCATGCCTTGCCTATTCCTCTTTCTTTCACTTTAGCAGTAGCTTCTATGGTTGCCTACTAGACCTACTATACCACATCTGACAACAGGTACATAGATATCTGTATGACTTGACATCTATATTCAAGGATTGTATTATCCAGTGTGGTAAATGAAGGCAATTTCTTAGGAATACGCAAAGATACATTAGCAAGCTAGCTAGGAGAGAGAAGGAAAAGCTTGCAGTAGGAACTATTTCTTGTGTGCCAAACACTGATATTACTAGGGCTCTTTTAGGTAAATTTTCCAATTTATTCTTCCAAGGCTGATAACAAATTCACTTTACACATGAATAAGCAAGATCATAGCTATTAATAATAATCAGGTTATATAACCAATCAGTGGGACATCCAGGTTTCTGCAAGAAGTCCTCACCCCTGACAGACCTGTCTTTACATCTAGGGCTTTCTGCCAGACATAATATGGAGACTGGTGATTAATACTAACATAGTTGCTGTACATTGGAAAGCTTGAGAGTTCATTTTTAAAAAGTCTTTAAGTTTGATTTTAATCAAAGTAAGTATCTGGGCCTACCTAGGGTAAATATCTGAGTCTTTCCTATCCATATGTGAATCTGCTTATTTCTTTTAATTTTTTGTAGTACGTAGGGCTTGGATTAATTAATTAAGCAATTCATTAATTTTACAGAGTTTGTTCTCTATATGTAGTCCAGGCTGAGCTTGAACATGTACTCCTTCTGCCTCAATCTCCTGAGTGTTCTTAGTCATATACCACCACACCCAGGAGATACTGAGTTTCTAGTTTGGAGTAATAATCTCTATTACTTATGCTTTGAGTTGACTATTTAATGAAACAGTTTGTCTAAAGCACTGAACATGGTGTTTTGTGTTCAGTCATATCTCAGTGAAACACAGTTATTATCGTTATTATGATTAGCTCCTTGTATGATTATCTTTTTTGTTTCTAAAGTAAACATAGCTACATGCAATTGTATATTTTAGAATGCATGCAGTTTTTCTAGATACAGCTGTGGCTGTGAGTATATACATGTTTTCAGTGTGTATACCAGTAAGTGTGCAAGTATGTTTTTGTGCTAGCTAGCTAGCATCATAGTTACTGGAGTCATATTTCATGGAATTAAATCCCAACTCTAACGTTTGTTAACTAGCATGGCTTGGACAAATTACATTTCTGTTTACCAATTCCTCCAATATACCATGGGGAATAATGACATCTGCTTCATAGGGTGGTTGTCAGGCTTAAAGTATTTAATATATGTTAGATGATTAGAATGAGCACGCGATAGACCAATGGATACCTATTTATTATTGTTATTCTGAATGTGATGGTGTCTCTATGTTGGCAATACGGCAGTGTGTGGATGTAAATATGTGCGTCTGTGTTTTTAAGTAAAATTATGTGTGCAAGTGTTAATGTGCGTTTATGTTTATAGTTTTGAACTATGTATGGTACGACTAGTGCTTCCCTCCCAGGTTCAAGAATTCTAGCCTTCTTGTTTAAAACACTGAAATGAGAGGCTAGAAGGCTGGGTATGGCAGTGAATCAGGATGGAACATGTGAAATGAATTTATGTACAGCATTGGGAACCAGCTGAGAATCTAAGATGTTCAAACTAATTCCCTCACATATTTCGTTTATTTTTGTTCTATCTTTTTGCCTTTTTAAAGTCAAAAATAAAAGATGTGCAGAATGTCTATAAATCCTATATTTATCAGAATATTGTCAGAAACCACACACACCCATATGAATTGAATGCAGATAACGAAAGACAACATGCCTCTTCCCTTCCCAGTCCTTAATGTTTGCTTCAAGGGTGAACATTATCTCTACTTATTTTTTTTATAGTGTTAGGGATGGGATTCAGGAACTAACGTATAGTGTGTAAGAAGTAAACAGCTGAGCTGTTTTCCCACTTCTAACCTTGCTTCTAGTAGAGCAAATTCATTTCTGTCGTTTTCCCTTTGCCTGGTGAAATCATATCGTATGTATACTTTTGGGTTTTGTTTCTTTAGAGTTGCACTTGTCACATCTACCTACAGTTTTTTGCATAGTCGTAGCTTGTTCATTATTACTGCCATTCTGAATTCCATTGTGTAAGTAAAATGCAATTTACTCAACCATTTTAATATTGATTGGCATTTTGGCAGTTCTCATTTTGGGTCTATGAATATTCCAGTAAATGTCTTTTGATGATTTCTTACGTGTTTCTAAATATAATTTATTGATTATGGGAAGTAGCAGCTATGAGTCATTTTTGCTTAAGGGAAAACAGGCAAAGGAAGAATTACTGACTTGATTAAGGTACCAAGTCAGTCAGTATAGTCTAATCATGATTCTGATGACTGTTTCCTGATTCCAGGGTCAGAGTACATTCTCTCTTCCACACCACTGAAAGAATGAACTCAGGCTTCTCTTTTGAAGGAAGCAATGCATGATTAGTAGTATAGGTAAATTTTTAACTTTGTTCCCTAACAACCTATGTATAGAAGCCACTGAAAGGAATCTAGTGAAGTTAAAAAAACAACCTGGATTAATTGGATTTTCCTTTTTCAGCCATTTCATTTGTTTCTTGCTTCTTCAGTTTTCCAGATACATGCAAAATTTCGTTGTTCTCTTTTCTCTTTTTTTCATACCAGCAGATTCCATTCCCGGTTTCTCAGAGTAGTGTGGGCCATGAAGCCAGGCCATTTCATCTGGACTTTACTGTTCACGCACTCCTTGTGGCTTTTACCAACTGATGGGGCCATTCGAAACTACTACCTGGGCATCCAGGATGTGCAGTGGAACTATGCTCCCAAGGGAAGGAATGTCATCACAAACCAGACCCTGAACAATGACATGTAGGTTTAATCTCACGTATTATTAGATGTAGAGATAAAAGAGGATATTCTGGAAGTCAGGCAATGTCTTTTGAGGGTACTTTCTCAGGGTACCATAGCAACCAGTTTCCAATCTCTTTGGACCACACATGCAACAACAGTTTCCCTAGAAAGCAAGTTGGTTTAGGACCCAACATCCAGTCTCAAGTTTACATTTTAGGAATGAAGCACTTAAGCATGTTTAGATTCCTAAAGATAAGTCCATATTCCTTTCTGTCTAAGCTGGGATTCAAAGTGCCCATCTATCAACAGCTGTTCGATTTATTTTTTTAATGAAATGTATGCAACATTTGTAAGGCATGTGTAGTGAAAATATGCTATTGTATTCTGATGGAACTACCCTAATTCTAAATACATGAAAAAGTATTATAAGCAAGGAAATGATAGTAACAAATAGCTCTTAGACACTAGCTCTAGGGAAGGAGCCATACTAGACATCTACAAATATGTCATTCAACTCCTGAAAAATCTCTAAGAAGTATGAATATTATCAATCTTGTGGTATGAGGACAGAACCCAGGATCTTACACACGATAAACATGAACTCTACCACTGAAAAACATGTAACTATAGGCTGTCTTGGTTTTATTGATGAGAAAACAGGCTCATGAAAGTTATGTGACTCATCCAAATCCTGTAGACAATAAATGGAGGAGCTGGGATTTGAATCTCTGTAAAGGGATGTGTGTACTTGATTCTGTTTTTACCATTGCACCCCTCACATGATCAAACTTTCCTTTCTTCTCTTTTTTGCTACTCTGCATCCTCTGACCCTCTGTCTCCCTCTCCTCTCCCTTTCCCCTCTCTTTTTTGTTTTCAGAGACAAGATCTTACTTGTACTCTGCTACAGGCTGTTCTGGAACTCACTGTGAAACTCTTCCTATGTTTGAACTCATGACAACCCTCCTGCCTCAACCTCCCAAACTATGGGAAGGTTTACCTTTGGTGATCTTAGATACTGATTTATGCTTCACCAAAAGGTAAAGAAAATGAATGTACTGAAGCATCTTTTGTAATGGTAATTCATTTAATCTCTCCATAGCTCTCAGTTTTCCAACTTGAAGTACTAATAACTGTTTTGCTCTTTCTGGTTGGGTAGTGCTGCCATCCATCCTAGGACCTCATATATTGTAGGCAAGTGTTCTACAATTGAGATGTATGGCCAGCATAAGCTGTCTTTTGACACAAACCATTCATCCAACTTTGGAGCCAGAACACTTGTATTAAAATTGCTCTTTAAAGAGTAACAGCCACTCACCTTAGTAATTTGAAGTAATAGCATTGAGCTTTTGAGATTTTCTAGGTACTATCTAAAGGATTCCTGAAGTTTTCATTTACTTTTTTGTTTCTCATAGTTCCAAGAATCAATTACAAGGCCTTATACATGCTAACCATGTATTTTAAGTCTCCAGACATATAATACAATTTTTGTCACCATGACAACTTTGAAAGTCAGATCCCACAATAATCTTCATTTGGAAGATGATGAAATTATATACATGGAAGTTAAAGCAGCTTGTCAAATGTTCTAAAGATTTGAAAATGGAGCAGCTGGTATTTAGTACAGGTGGTCTGGCTCCAAGCCTGTGGTCATAGGCACTGTGATCTTCTGCTATTTCTCTAAGGGTTACATGAATGAGTTGTTATCATTTAAGAAGAGTCATTACACAGTTAGTTGTCTCCTTGTCATTGTACATTTGTTTGCACCGTGTAAGAGTGACTCTTTGTATGTTGGTCAAAATTCAGCAATTTCATATGACTCAGCTTCCTATTCACATCATATTTTCACAAGTGCAATCCAATTCTTTTATTTTGTCAGCATTCTCTAGGAAAAAAATGTCCAGTTGTTTGAAGATGGTAGGAAAGTTGTAATTCTGTCTTGCATTTTCTCAGAGTGGCTTCCAGCTTCCTAAAGTCTGGCAAAAACAGGATAGGGAGTAGTTACAAGAAGACTGTCTATAAGGAATACAGCGATGGAACATACACTGATGAAGTAGCCAAGCCTGCCTGGTTGGGCTTCCTAGGACCACTGTTACAGGCTGAGGTGGGGGATGTCATCCTTATCCACCTGAAGAATTTTGCAAGTCGGCCTTATACTATTCACCCTCATGGAGTTTTCTATGAGAAGGACTCAGAAGGTAAGGCAGCTTACCTTTCCTTTCTTCCTTTTCTACAAAGTATCACTTTTTCTTCCTGCCATCTGAGAAAGAGGGGTTTGGAACAAGATTGCCCCTCTCTCTATTTTCTTCGTCTTTCCAATAGAATGTTGGTCTGTGGCTGAGAATGGTTTAGAACTCATGATTCTTCTTCCTAAGCCTCCTGCGTGCTTGGATGCTATCATGCCCAGTCCCAAATAGCTTTTCTCATACTGATTTACCACAGCAAAATTTTGCTTCACGTAAACATGGCTGTGTACCAGTACTTACTTGGGCAAGACATTGTACTTCTTCGGGTTTCAGACTTTATATGAGGAATATGAAGACACAGTCCCTTTTTTATTACAAGTGATTATTTGAATTCCATTTCTACTGAGTATTTGAATATGCTTTTGAGAGAAAAGTTTTGTGAAAGTAATGGAGTGCTACTCTAATTCCCAAGTCTTCCAGAAGATCTGTTTTTTTTAGAATAAGTTCAATTTATTCTTTAGCATCTTCTAACATTCAAGGCATAATGGCAGATACTGTAGATAGTGAGGGAATTAATGGGAAGTCAGTAGCTCTGGTTTGGGATGAGGATGCAGAGAAAAGGAACTCTTTTATACTGTTGTTAGAAAGGTTAATTAATATATTCATCAGGTACCAATAAGCAGTTTTTAAAATTGGAATTATGTTATTGCCCAGAAATTCCATTACCAGGTTTATATCCAAAGGAAATCATATCAGCATGTTGAAGATACACATGCTCCCATGATTATTGTAACACTATTCACAATAACCACATTATATAATCATCCTAAAAAGTTAACTGAGGATATGGGAGATAGATTTGCAAGGAACTGGGTCCCATCCACAGAGCTGCAAAAACAAATTATATATATGAATATTATATATAAGTATATGAACATGAAAATTACACACACACATGAATGTTATTCACCTTTAGAAAGGAAGAAATATTTTTTATTATAAAATGGAGTAACCTGGAAGGGCACTATGCTGAGCAAACTAAAACATCTACGGACAGATAAATACTTATGATTTCATCATGTATAGAGTCTGAAGTAATTGTTATCATAGAAGTTGAAAATAAAATAGCAGTTACCGAGGCTGGGGCAAAGAAAGGATGAGAATGTGGAGAGATTACTCAAAGTTCAGTGTCACAACTGGAAGTTTTGGTGTAAATAGTACTATGATGATACACACCTATGATTTCAGCACTTGGGAGGCAGAGGCAGGAGGAAAATGAGTTCCAAGCTACCTTGGAATGTCTGAGGAAGCCCTGTGTCAAACCAACACCCCCTTTCACAAAATCAAAACTGTTAGAAGAGAGATCTTTAAATGTAAAGAAATACAATTGCTTGCAGTTTTATTTTCTCTACAGTGAGAAAGTAAGCCCACTGGCTATTAAATTGACTTTAAGCTAAATTGTGTTTGTTTGCTCTTTGCATTTCAAAGTAAGTGCTTAAAACCAAGGGCTTTCTTTACCTTCAGGCTGGGTCTCCTTCTACAACCCAGGCTAGCATTTTATCTGGAGACCCTCTGTCTCCTGAGTGTTAATAGAATTGTTCTGCCACGGGAGCTTGGAAGGAAGTTTTTCTTTTTTTCCTTGCTTTCACACCATTTAAGGTAGGCATACTTTTTTCAACATATATTTCTTCCCAAGTGATTTCTATTTATCTCAGAACCCTTTTAATTATGTTAATGCTTAAAATGGTAAATTATCAAATTCGCATCCCCTCCCCTATCCTTGCAATCACCATTCCCTCTTCCCAGCTTTATGCACTCTGTTTTTTTGAAGTGAACTCGGTACTCCACTTAGTTCTGCCAGCACATACATGGGTGGAGGGCCATTAACTGGAGCATGGGTAGCCTCTCAGGGACCACATCCCAAAGAAAATGAACTCTCTTCACCCAGCAGTCATGATTTGCCATTATGTCTTCAAATAAGGGTGCAACTTCATGATTCACTCCCCTATCTGTGCTTGGATTTTGCTTGGTTTGATCTTTTGCAGGTCTTGTGCATGCAGTTCCTGCCTTTGTTAGTCTATGTGTGTAACTGCCCTCTTACACGCAGAAAACATGTCTCAAGCCATCAAAGAGACTTCTTTTTGTATTGGATGGCTATTAACATAGAGACCCACAACTGATCAATATGCAGCACATTAGAAACTGAGAGATTCCAAGCCTTAACTGGGATATTTATATTGTGTCACTTCTCTCAGGGCTCAGGAATGAATAGGGAAGAGGATGGAGAAAGCTTTTAAGATCCAGAGGCAGTGAATGACTTATAGTAGCTTCTCCCTTTTACCTATTGTTGATGTGAGGACAGAGGTAAGGAACACTGTAGTACTGAACCTTAGATTTAACCTAAGTATCCCACATTTTTAAAAAATTTCCAACTTAATTGATTATCATTGTGTATGTGTGTATTGTGTGTGTGTGTGTGTGTGTCTGGGAGAACATGTGAATGCCACAGTCTACATGTTGAGAACAACTTTGTGAAGTTACTTTATTTCTTCTGGCTTTACATGGATTTTTTGGGATTGAATTCAGGTCAACAGGCTTGCTCAGATGAGTGCCTTTACCTGATGAGTGATCTCACTGATTAACGCCTTCTCTTTAATTCTTTATCTGTGTAATCTTACTCATACTGGTGCTAGACCTGTACACTTTAATTTTGTAGGCTCACTGTACCCAGATGGTTCTTTTGGGTACATGAAAGCAGATGATTCTGTTCCCCCGGGAGGCATCCATGTCTACAACTGGACTATTCCAGAAGGCCATGCACCCACTGCTGCGGACCCAGCATGCCTCACCTGGATTTACCATTCTCATGTAGATGCTCCACGAGACATTGCAGCTGGTCTCATTGGACCTCTTATCACCTGTAAAAGAGGTACTTACCCAGACAACCACACAAGATGCAATTTGGTACATCTATGGGAAGCAGTGAGATAGTTAAATCAAGATCATATTGAGTAGCAACCTGAGTGGTACCCATTTATTAGCCTGCCATACTCTCTCTCTACTCTTGTGTCTGTTTCATTACCTTTAAAAAACACCAAATAACTCTACTACTTTTCTGTTATTTATTTCACTTTTAAAATTCAAATAATTGATGATGGCAGCCAACTCACATTTGAGTAAGGTAACTAATAAAAGCTTAAGTTGAATCAGATAGAAAATGGAGCCACTAGGATTCAAGTATTCAGCTGCATGATTTTGAATGGGTTATTCTCAAAGTGTAGTCAGGACTGAAGGCCAGGGTATTGAAGGAATTGTATTAAGTTTAAACATTAAACACTGAGCATGATGGGAGGAAATTATTCTAGAATCTGTATTTTCCTCCTTTATGCCATAGATTCATCCGGCAAGTTTGGAAATAAAAACTGGCATCAGAAACATTTTCTGTTGTTGATAAACCTATAAGATCCTTTTCCCTCTTTTCCTATGTTTTCTTATGAGAATGCCTTGCCTTGTAGCCTATTATCAAGGATATTTTTATGCTTGCCCAGGTACCCTGGATGGTAACTCCCCACCTCAGAGGAAGGATGTGGACTACAATTTCTTCCTTCTCTTCAGTGTGGTAGATGAGAACCTTAGTTGGCACCTTGATGACAACATTGCTACGTACTGCTCAGATCCTGCCTCGGTGGACAAAGATGATGGAGCCTTTCAAGAGAGCAACAGGATGCATGGTGAGCTAGGAGGAAGTGGCTGCATTGTGACAATGGAGACTCTTATGTAGAGTTTCCATTTGCTCTACTATTTGTCTGATTCATTCATATGTGTTGTCCTTTTTTGAAACACTTTTTTATTATATACTCCCTCTCCCTCCCCTCCACGCCCAATACCCCCCACTCTAGACAGACAGACTCCATGGGGGATCTCTAGAGTCTGTCATTTCGTTCCAGGGAGGGCCCAGGCTGAGAAATCATTCCTCATTGTGGGATGGGTCCCCGAAATCCATTTGTGTGCAAGGGATAAGTACTGATCTACTACCCAGAGCCCCAAAGATTGCCTAGGTCTCCGCACTGATACCCACATTCAGGGGGTCTGGATCAGTCCCATGCTGGCCTCTCAGCCATCAGTCTGGTGTCCAAGAGCTCCCTCTTGTTCAGGTCAGCAGCCTCTGTGGGTTTCACCAGCCCAGTCTTGACCTCTTTGCTCATCACTCCTCCCTCTCTGTCACTAGGTTTCAGGAGTTCAGTTCAGTGTTTATCTGTGGGCGTCTGTCATTACTTCCATCTGTCACTGGATGGAGATTCTAGGATGGCATATAAAGTAGTCGTTAAACTCATTATCAGGGAGGGGCATTTAAGGTAGTCTCTCCACTATTGCTTAGTTTGCCAGTTGGTTCCATCCTTGTAGATCTCTGGAAATCTCATTGTCCCTTTAATACAAAGTTCAAGATAGGTGGAAAGATGGAGGGCAGGTGGACTTTCTTTTGTCTTAGAAAATATTGAGGATCATATCATTATGGATCGAAAATGGCACAACTTAAATCTTTCCTCTGATCTCTCCAGTTATATGGGCTGTACCCTGGCTCATTAATATTATCTTTTTCATAGTGAAGAATAGACAGGATTATTGATTCTGAATCATATATGACATAGTCACCTGAGTGAGTTGCCCGCTGATATAAGAAATTAATATTGCTTTGATTTTAAAAGGATGAAAGATGGCAAAATTATCTACTTTGTGGAGAAAACGATTACTTTCAAGATACATTCTTTATATTCTACTATTGGCTCGTATCTATTTTTTTTTTAATCGGGAGAGCATGAATGCAATTCCCCACAAATTATGCAGGGTCAGCATGTCTGAAGTTCAAAGGATAATTGGCTAATGTCTATAAAAGAATTGGTTACATCAAATTAAAGATTAATTATATTAAATTAAAGATAAATAAAATTACAGAATCCCCAGTCATGAACAGAGAACTGATTTTAGGAAAAGAAATATCCTGACTTTGTTTTTGTTAGTGAAGGAAGTTATTTGCTACTTTTGGATATAGGGATGCACTCAAAGCAATAAAGGAACTGAAATTTTAGTAGAAAGAAACAAAGGATGGACTGGTTAGTTTAAATTTATCTTGAGTTTTATAGAGATAGATTCCAGTGGCCATGATAGTAAGGTAATGTAACAGTCATACTATGGAAATTTCAAAAGGAAACTGGCCAGAAATGAAAGAATGGCTTGGGAAAAATATCTTACAGAAATTCCTTAGATCACTGGATTTGGAATACTGATTTTATTAATTAATAGATCTGTAGTTCTTGCATGGAAGTAACTTCACTTTTAATGTCTTGGTTTTCTCAATTTTTTGATTGACTAATAATATTTGTCTATTTTAATTGTTTCTCAAATTTACATGAAACAAGACATACATTCAGTGTAGTATGTTCTTTTTTGTTTTTTTCTTCCATTTTTTTATTTAAGTTAGAAAAAGGCTTGCTTCACATGTCAAAGCTCCCTGTCCCTCTCCTCCTCCCCGCCTTCCCCACCAGAACCCCCGGTCCCTCACCCAATCTCCACTGTGATCCCCAGGGAGGGTGAGGTCCTCCATGGAGCATCTCTACAGTCTGTCATTTCATCCAGGCCAGGGCCTAGGCCCTCCCCTAAGAGTCCACGCTGAGAGAGCATCCCTCATTGTGGTATGGGCACTCAAAGTCTGTTTGTACGCCAGGGATAAATAATACCCAAGGCCCCATAGATTACCTAGGCCTCCTCACTGACACCCACGTTCAGGGAGTCTGGGTCAGTCTCATGATGTCCACCCAGCCATCAGTTTGAGGTCTAAGAGCTCCCCCTTGTTCAGGTCAGCTGTTTTTGTGTGTTACACCAGCCCAGTCTTGACCCCTTTGCTCATCAGTGTAGTGTGTTCTTTAAACCTTCATTTGGATGCTATCTACTCTTTTTGTCAGATGATAAATGATTCTCCCATTTATCTGTCTTTTCCTAATTTCTGAATTTTTCTTCTGCAGCAATCAATGGGTTTGTCTTTGGGAACTTACCAGAACTAAGGATGTGTGCACAGAAGCATGTAGCCTGGCACTTGTTTGGCATGGGCAATGAAATAGACGTCCACACAGCTTTCTTCCATGGACAGATGCTGACTACCCGTGGACACCGCACTGACGTTGCTCACCTTTTTCCAGCCACCTTTGTGACTGCTGATATGGTGCCCCAGAAATCTGGAACCTGGTTAATTAGCTGTGGAGTGAATAGCCACTGGAAAAGTAAGGTCTAACATTTTTCACCCTTGGAATATGTGAGGAAAGTGTAGTTAATGGTCAGTGGGAAGTGGGCCTTCTAGCTTGGAGCCATCTACCTAATAGGTCTTTGAGACTTCTTGTTGTAAATAACTAGTATGAAGTCAGATACTTAGGCTATTTCTTGACTCTGCCATTAATGTGCTGAGTAAATTTAGAACCATTTTTTGGGGGTTGAATTTTCCTGTCTCAGTTAGGGATATATTGCCATGAAGAAACATCATGAGCACAACAACTCTAATAAAAGGAAAAAATTTAATTGGGGCCTGGTTTATAGTTCAGAGGTTTAATCCATTATTGTTATTTCTGGAAGCATGGTGGCAGACATGGTGTTGAAGAGGTGTCTGAGAATTCTACATCTGTATCTGCAGGCAGTCGGAAGTGACAGTCACACTAGACCTGGATTGAGTATTTTCACATCCAAAATTAGCTCCTTAGTCACATACATTCTCCAACAAAGTTACACCTACTCTAGCAAAGCCATACCTCCTAATAGTGCCACTTCCTATGGGCCTATGGGGGCCACTTTTATTCAAACTATCTCATTTCCACTCCCTGGCCTCCCACGAACTTATAGCTATATCATAATGCAAAACACATTTAGTACAACTTCAAAAGTCCCCATAGTCTATAACAGTTTTAATCCAGCGAAAGTCCAGTGTGCAAAGTCTCTTCTGGGACTCATGGCAATCTCTTACCTGTAATCTCTTATAAAATAAAAATAAAAAGGCAGATCACATGCTCCCAATACATAATGGCACAGTATATACATTACCATTCCAAAAGGGAGGAAAGGGAACATAGGAAATACTGGACTAAAGCAAGACCAAAAACCAACTGGACAAACATCAAACTCTGCATCTCCTTTTCTGATGTGAAAGCGCTCTTCAGATCTCCAATTGCTTTCAGCTTTGTTGACTGCAATACATGTCTCTCTCTTGGGCTCACTCCATTCCCTGTTAGCAACTTTTCTCAGTAGGTATCCTATGGCTTTGGCATCTCCAATGTCTTGTGTTCTGTATGGCAATCCAGGCTTCCCCTTCACAGCTTCACACAATGGCATTTCTAGGCCTCCATGCAGGGACACCCCTGAAACATGCCTGGTCTCAGTGGCTTTCCTTAGTATTGAGTGGCTTTCCTTAGTCTATCTTTTTTCTATCTTTAACTCTAAATCCAGAACCATATGACCAAAGCTGCTAAGTTCTGCTGCTTACTGGGGCTGGAACATGAACCCCTTGTTCAGTTACATCTTCCCTAGATTTCTGTTTTGCCATATATCATAAGAATAGTCTTTCAGCCACATGCTATTATTCTTCTTTGATACCTCTTGAACCAGGCCTTCACAGTTCAAATCACCCTCAGCATTAGTGTCCTCCATGTTCCTATTAGGATGGCCCATCAAGCCCCATGTAAAGAGTTCAACTGCTTGTCTCATCCAAAGTCCCAATGTCTACATTACTCCAACCAGGCATGCATGCCTCTGAGGCAGATTTCTTTATTCTCTTCACTTACAAAAGACGGGATGCTCAGACTGAGAGCTTATCTAAGTTCTTTCAGATAGTGACGCATAGTTGGCTTTAACTTTTATGTCCTGACTTGAGTCTTTATGATGTTGCCGAGACATAGATCTTTTGCAGAGGATAGGATGAAGACCTTAAGTGCATCAGTTATTGCCTGCACTCTCTCTTTCTACTAGCCAGACTCTTGAGTCAGGAAAAGTGGCTTATTTGGAGATAGCAGTAAAGAAACTAGAAGATGATGGGAGGAGATAAAGACAAGGAAAAGCATGGCCCTGAGTAGGAATTTTAGCTGTAGAAAAGGAAAGATGTGTTTTTTTCCAGGTGGCATGCAGGCCCTCTATAAGGTCGACTCTTGCTCCACGAACCCACCTGTGGACCAACTCACAGGCAAAGTTCGTCAATATTTCATTGAGGCCCATGAGATTCAATGGGACTATGGCCCAATGGGGCATGATGGCAGAACTGGGAAGAGTTTGAGAGAGCCAGGAAGGTAAGAGACAGAGGGATCCTCTACCTACTCCTACCCAAATACCTGTTATACTCCTCCTTTAAATCTCTTTACTTGCAGGGTAACAGCCTTGCCTCGATGGAATTGCTATTGTAATCCAATTTTTTTGTGATTTTCTTGTTTGCAGTATGTAGCAAACCTTCTGCAAGTGTATTCAATTAATGTTTCAAATATAATTTGATGTTGTCACTGCTAAATATGTGGCCATGTTTAGAATGAAAAGCCCAGGTAGAACCAGTTCCTCATCAATCAAAATGACTTTTCTTCATTTTTATCAATTATTTGTCTCCTTTCTCTTTCTTATCATTTTCTAAGGAGAACAAGTGAGCATGGGTATTACAAAAACACCTTGAGAAATATATGGGGAAATAGAGGCTGCTTGTGGTGAGCCAATGTCCATTCTTTTGTAGAAACTTCTCCAGTTTCCTTTCCTTTATATATGAGCCACATGTACAAAGGTTAGAGCAGGTTAGTTCTTCACTCGGTTGCCAGGCCTTAAGTTTCCAGCGTATTAGGCCATTGTCAGTGCAAGTTCTTTTATAGAGGTAGCACTTGGTAGATTACTAGGGCAAGACATAGGGAAGATACTTGGATACCATTCTCCCAGTAAGAAATGAAGTGAATATAGAGAAACCTTCAAAGTTGGCATTGAAATTCTGAAATGCTGTCAAAAAGCTCCATGTAGGCTTACTCACTTAGTAGGTTTTCATGTTAGAATGAAGGATTTTTATTTTCTCTTAATAAAAATGGGTCCAATTATGTTTCTATGGCTGGTCTTTAATTCCTGGACTCAAATGACCATCCTGCCTCAGGTTCTGGACTACCTAGAACTACATGCCTCTGGGGACTGAAAGCATACACTAATGTGTTCATCCATCTAAATATATTCTTGATAAATGAGAATAAAATATGGGACGATAAGTTAGAATAGAATACGGGGTATTGAATAGATTGGGCTTGCTTGACTGTAGGGTGAAATATAGCAGGTAGATTGGGATTCATTCCATCTACCTGCATAGAAATCACAGACAGGCAAGAAGTTTTCAAATGTTGGTTTCTAGCCTCTTTTGTGTTTTTTCCAGTGTTTGACATCAGCAAATGATGGTCACAGGCAGATAGAAGCAGCAGAAGCATCACCCTCTTTATTCCAGTCCTTAATTTTGGATTTAACAAATGGGAAAAGAGTATATGAACTCTTGGCTTTTGGCAAGAGCTAATTTTGTTTCTTAGTCTGGAATCTGAAGTCCTTGATCCTGATGATTTAGGAGCTATTTGGAACTCTATTGGTAACTCTCTTCTGGCTTCTTTCAGTCTGCTCTCTCAGTCTTTCCCATTCCATTTTGGGTCTTTTTTCTGAACTGGCTACTTTCAAACCATTCATTTGTTCCTCAGCTGTCATTGTTTTCTGCAAATCTTGGGTTATCGATCTCTATATACTTGGAGCCATGGTACATCTGTGGCTCCTGCTGCTGGTTGGGAGTCTGCGTTGTTCAGAAACTGAGCATGGGACATGGTAGGGATCATTTAGGGATAGAGTGCCCCCTCTCACTGAAAGCAGAATTCTTGATTTCCACGAGGAGTTATCAGGTATTCTACAGCTATCATGTTAACACTGTTGGGTGAATTCAGGCCTTTGGGCCCTGCTACTGTGCAGATATGAGGCCTCCACAAATGCTATTTCTTCAGCTATTAAATGGCATTTGCCAGTACTCTGTACTGGGGATCCTGGCCCTGGGCTCCCAAACTAGGCAGTGGTTGCAAGCAGGTCTGTTTGAAATTCTTCCTAGAAATACGGCATTAGCTTCTGGGACTGTCTTCAAGGCTGCCTGTTCTTCTTCAGCTATGAAACAACAATGAAAGTACCAATACTTTGTATTTGGAAGCTTGGGGCTCAGAAATGCATGCTGGTCTGGTCAACAGAAGCCCAGTATCAGGGATCAGAAGCAACATTGAAAGTAAAGGTGGTGCTTGGCAATGTTGAGTTTGTACAGTGCCCATGTGTGGCACTGAATGGTATTGTATTCAAGTTTTACCTGTGTATATTCTTCAGCTGTCAGTCACTGATCTGAGATCAAGTTATTGTTGAAGGCAGGAACTTGTTCAACTACCAAACAACTAGGCAGTGCATGGGTTAGTATGGGGCCTATGGCATCAATGTTTATCTCAAGCAATATAAACTTGTTAGTTTAGACTACTTCCACTGCCAATTTTTCACATTAAGACCACACAATAACAACAAAAATAGGTAAAAGACATTTGAAAGAAATGTTTACTGGAACCAATGCTGCAATATAGGAGAGGCAGCACAGTATAGTGTCTTCTTGCTGACTTTCTGAGTAAGCTTAGATTGCCTGATTCTATAGTTTGAGAAGGCAAATTTGGATCAAATCATAGGCATTTGATTTGTCAATTATAACCATTCATTTTACAATCCCAGTCAATTAGGCTGTATTTCTGATCAGTCATAGCACTGCCCCACTCCATGGAAATGGTTCCCAATTTGAGTAAGGTGGAAATGTTGTATCAAGACTTCTGATTGCAAAAAGTCTGGCACAAATTATTTCAGACAGTCTTGGCTAGAACTGTACCTCTAGGAGCCAAGACAATCAGCTGTTATCGTCATGTCTCAAGGCATCAATAGTTGGTGCTCCTACAAGTATCGTCTGGCTGGTTATTAGACTGATACTCCTTTTTCCCACAGCAGCTCAGGCAGCAAGGCGTTTAATAGTTGCTAATTAGAAAGCCAGATTGGCTCATTCCTAATATTTTTGCTTGTTTATTGGAAAATGAATACTGGAAGGAATCATAATATAAATTGGTAGAACTTATTGTCAGTAATAGCAATGATCTTTATTTTATGTTCTGCTTTTTAACTTTTCCTTACATGTATGTATACTGTATAGTAGGTATATGATTCCCACCCTGTTCTTCCCTAACCTCCCTCTTCTCACTCCTTCCCCTTCCCATTAGTATCATTTATTTCTGTGAATAGTTAATTCCCTTTATTTCTGATACTACCTTTCTGTCATGTATACATGCATAATTTCAAGTGACTATAAAATCTAGGAAGCACAGAGCATAGAAAACATACAATATTTATCTTTTGGAAACTAGCTTAATTCGATTAGCATTATTATCTCCAGTGTATCCATTTTTCTGCAATTAGTATGCTTCATCCTGTATGATGGCTGTAAAAATTCCACTGTGTATACACACCATATTTTCCTTATCCATTTCTGTGTTGTTGGGAATGTAAGTAGATTTCATAGCTTGCCTATTGTGCATAATGCTTCAGTAAACACTGGTGAGCAAGAATCTCTGTGATATGTTGAATTTCTTGGTCCTTTGAGTAAATACCCAGCCATGGCACACCTGGGTTATATGATAGATCTATTTTTAGGTGATGTTTCCTTCCTTCCTTCCTTCCTTCCTTCCTTCCTTCCTTCCTTCCTTCCTTTCTTCGTTTTTTTGAGAGTCCTCCATACTGATTTCCATAGTGGCTTGACTGGTTTACATTCCAATCTGCAGTGTATAAAAGTTTCCTTGTTTCCACACCTGAATCAACATTTACTATTGTTTTTTGTCTTCATGACTGATATTCTACCAGATGTAAGGTAGCAACTCAGTGTAGTTTTGAGATGAGACGGAACGCAGTTTTTTTTTTGATTTTTTTAAAATTTTAAATAGCTTGTTTTACATGTCAATCCCAGTTCCCTCTCCCTCCCCTCCTCCCGCACTCCCCTTCCCCCCCCCACCCTCCCACCCTATTGCCAAATCCATCCACATAGGGGATATCAGAGTCTGTCATTTTACTCTGGGTAGGGTCCAGGCACTCCCCTAAGAGTCCAGGCTGAGAGAGCATCCCTCTTTGTGCTATAGGCACACGAAGACTGTTTGTATATCAGGGATAGACACTGATCCACAGCTCAGGGCCCCATAGGTTGCCCAGGCCTTCTCGCTGACACTCACATTTGGGGGGCCCAGATCAGTCCCTTGCTGGCCTCCCCACTATCAGTCTGGGGTCCAAGAGCTCTCCCCTGTTCAGATCAGCTGTCTCTGCTGGTTTTGCCAGCCCATTCTTTGCCAATTTGCTCATCACTCCTCTCTCTTTGTCACTGCGTTCCTTGGGTTCAGTTCAGTGATTAATTGTGTGTTTGCCTCTGCTTCCATCAGTCACAGGATGAAGGCTCCCGGATGGTTATAGACATCAAGTTCATTATCAGGAATGGGCATTCGAGGTGGTCTCTCCACGGCGAGGGGTGGGAGGGAGTGGGACCTGGGAAAAAGAGAGGGGGTGAAGAGGAAGAGAGTTGGTCATGGGGGAAAAGGAAGTTGAGGGGGTGGGGGTAGAATAGGGGGAAGAGGGAATCATAGGATCGAATACAGATCAGGCACCAGAGCGACCTCGAGTGATCTAAAGGGATAACACCAATTGGAACACAGTTTTATATGTGTTTATTGACCATTTGTATTCTTTGTTTGAGAACTGTCTGTTCAGGGAGTGGGTGGATGGCTCAGTAGAGAATAGGGTTTGTTCTGCAAGCATGTAAACTTGAGTTTGAGTCTCCAACACCTACATGAAAAATTGGACATAGCTACTCATGCTTATAAACCCCAACAATGGGGCATAGAGACAGGTAGATCCCAAAAGCCATCCAGCCTAGTGAAGAGGCAAATGACATACTATCTCAAGGTAGTAAGGGGAAACAACAAGAGAGGAAGACACTGTCTTTCTCCGGACTTTTCATGTACACACATGAGCATATGCACTTACATACTTGTATGCATGCATCATGTGCACATGCAATACAACACATACAAAAGAGATTTTAAACCAAAAAGGCAACTACTAGTTTTAAATATTTTGCATTGGCTTGGATTTTTTTGTACATTGATACAAAACTAAGTTTATCTTGCTAGAACATACAGTACTTACATTTCTAATTTTATTCAAGGCATTGTACCAATTCAAATCATTTAACAATGTAATATAAATTTTTAGCCCTTGAAGGTTATTATTATCAGCTATTTAGAATAATAAGGAAATTTAGTTTAGCTATTAGTTACCTATTACAACTGAACTTGTAGTCATATTAGGTATGGTTTCAAGGTCAAACAGAGATATATTTTAGATAGATAGGTGGTCTTCAAACGCTTCAGAGATCAACAGAATATGACAATTAATATGTTTTAATAACATAGATTTTTTTCTCTTTTTATGACAATGAGTCATGTATGTTCCTGGCAGCACCAATCTACTTTAGAGAAGATGATGGGCATCAAAGAAACTCCACATGGAGTTTACTTTCTTTGTGGCAAAAGTTAGCCACTGGGCAAGAAAGTGTTCTTGCCTTGATGCTGACAGTATGCTGTCCAAATTGGACAAGCAAGACACACAAAAAATTAACAGCTGAACTTGGCCACAAGAAGGTAGGATAGCCCTTCAGAAAACCCTACTTCACAGAAAAGTATGGCAGATATGCTAGGCATATAAGCTGAGGATGGATGCCTCAACATTGAAGAGGAAACTTGCGTGACTCTCCAGGCAGCCAGTTGTTTCTGTCATTTCTCACATTTTTTTGGAATTCGGTTGCTCATGCTTCCTGCTTACTCAAGTAATATTATTTCCTTCTTGGGATTCTGATGGAGTTGACGACTTTATAGTTTTCCTTGTTACCAGATTCAGGAAAGAAATGTAAAGTGTATACGGTTGAGAGACATAAAAAGATAGTTTTGGTAATATAAGTTAAAATAGAAGCAAATTAGGTACAACCTTTTGGACTCACCAAGATAGGATACATAAGGAGTATTTTCTATGAATTTGTTAATTTTTAATGGATTAGACATTGTTGATATATTTATTGCCATACACATTACATATAGTTATTGTACTTACTGTGCATAGTTTTTCTTGTATTATTTATAACCCTTTTTATTTCAGACAAAAAAGGGAAATGTTATGTTTCCATTTCTCAGTGTCAGCCTTATATTCTAAATGACTGTAGTCCTCAGAAAGCCATTATCTATGGCTATATAGTTTTATTGTTTTTCTTTCTCTACCCTCTAGCAGTTTAGAAATTCAAGTCTTACATTAAGATCCTTGATCCGTTTGGACTTGATTTTTGAGCAGGGTGAGGAATACAAATCTAATTTCAATTTTCTACATGTGGGCATCCAATTTTGCTAGCACTATTTGTTGAAAAGTCAGTCTTTTCTCCAACATGTGTTTTTGACATCTTTGTAAAACTTCAGGGCACTGTAACTGAGTGGGTGGGCTTATGTGAATCTTTGATTGTGTTCCATTTATCTTCATGTCAGTATTTGTTGAAGCACCATTCTGCTTCTGATGTTTTTTTTGATAACTGGCTTGCTATTTTTAATGTAGTGAGATATAATATAGTTACATAATTTTCCCCTTCCCTCTCCTCCCTCTAAGTCCTCCCATATACCTGCCCTTTCTTTTTCTTTAATTATTGTTATAATTATAGGTTTGTAATGTAACTTGAAATCAGTTATGGTGAATACCTCTAGCATTATTTTCTTTGTGTGTTCCCCATTGCCTTGCCTTGATGATCTGGGATCTTTCATGCTTCCAAATGAATTTTAAGATTTTTTTTCCTGTTTCTGTGCAGGTTGACAAATTTTGATGGACATTGCATCGAATCTATAGCATAACTATTTTCACAGTATTAATTCTTCCTGTTCATGTGTATGTGATTTATTTCTATCTCTAGAGTCATGATTAATTTATTTCTTGAGTGCTTAAAAGTTTGCATTGTAGGGGTTGTTTGCTTCCTTGGTTAAATTTTTTTCCAAAATAACTTTGGAGGCAATTTTGGTGGGCTCGGTAATTTGATTTCTTTCTCAGCATGTTTACTGTTGGTGTATAGGTAGACTACTGATTTTTATGTGTTAATTTGCATATTTTGAAGTATCACTGCACCCCTGGAATAAAATCAAGTTGATCATAGCAATGACATATTTGATTTCATTCATGAGTATTAAGGAATATGGCATCAATGCTTATCAACGAGATTGCTCTAAACGATATATTTTTTCTTTTTGTGTGTTCGTGCCTTTGTCTGGTTTTGGTATTAGACAAATGCAGATTTTCTACACAAAGTTCTATAGCATTCCTCTCTTTAAATAGCAGTGAGTTTTAAAGAACAAACAAAGAAACAGATTTCAAGATTGTGTAACATCTGCATGGTGCCTAGGGAGAGTGTTCCATATGAAGAATGAACCCTGGCAGTTGTGCAATTGATTTTGAATGGATGGCTTTTATTAAGCAGACAGCAACTAGGAATAAAAGAATAAAAGAAACAACAAGCAGAATGGAGATGATAAAATATCAAACCAGACATGTATATCTTTCAATAGAAACTGACTGGGCAAACCCTGGGAACCAAAACAGTCAGTTGGAGCCTCTGACCAGTAAATAGGGTCCTGGGTACAATGTCTTCTCCTTAGTGATATTTCTAATTAGTTGTTCCTAGTTATAGCATGTTATATTTTTATATCATAGGATAATCAGTAGCTGAATTTTTTGCTTTGAGAAGGTACTTGGGAATGATTTGTCTCTCTCCCGTGTTCAGGGACACAGTGTTTTGACTAACAATTTACCCTCCTTCATGGCATTTTTACTCTTGTCATGTTTTGTTGTTCTCATTCAGCTTTCTCACAGTGAGCTTAAAGAACATGAGGTAATTTACTAATAATATGTATATTATAGAGAGCGTCCCTTCATTTTCTCTAGAGAAATTTGGAGTATATGTGGGGTAAAACTGGCCTTGTGATGGCAGGATGTGTGAGGGCATAGGAAAGTTCTTGAAGGTGTCTGATGAGGAGAAGGTTAGAAACGACTGCTCCTTCGAGCTGTCTGCCTAGGACTTACAAATTATGTTAGTGAGGGTTTTTGTTTGTTTTAGCATCTAGGATCTAAAGATATTTTGATCATAATTCTGACAAACCAAAGTTAGGTGTCCAGATGCACAAGTTCCAGTGATAATAGGGTGACAATTTCAGAAACTTTATTCACGACTAGATAAGGACAACAGGTTTTTTTTCCTGTTGCTTGCTGTTCATAGAGAAACGGGTAAGAAATTTTTGAATCTCCTAGGAAGAAAAGATCTAATAAGCTAGTGGATTATCACTTTAAAAATGCGAAGAAACACAGACATGTAACAATGCAACAAGCTATCAGGATCCATAGAAAGAACAGTAAATGAACATTAATTGCTGGGGGGTGGCTATTCCCTTGGGGCAGCACCAGAGATGGTCCACCTGTGTGGAAGGAGAAAGGAACCAATATTCCAGCCAAGATGTTCATGTACTGCTGAAGCTCTGAAATAAAATCTATTCATTATGTAAAAACAGTGACCTCAAAGGTTACTAAAGGGGTAAAAGTTAAGCATCCAAGGCCCAGTTTCTGGAAACTATCTAGAGTGGAGGGGCCAGAAGAGCTCTGGAAACTTCTTCATAGTAGGCAAGTGAACTTGGACACAGAAGACTGTTGGTTGGTATAGGACTTTTGGAAGCCCAAGATAATCTTCAGAGATTCCATTGGTGTGCCTTAGCAATTTGGTAACATATCAATTCCTATACCTCAGTACTACTCATCAGTCATCCTGTGAAACAGACAGAAAATAAGGGCATAATAACCCTTCTAAACTAATTAATGAGTCACAGTTCACCATGAATATCCAGACTTGGTTAGCTGATTGTAGGAGGCTGTTATAGAAATTTACCAACATCTACAGGAACAGCAATGCCCAAATCTTCATTGTACTTTCCTGGCCATCCACAGTGCCTTCAGCTTTGTTCTCATGATTACCTTCTCAAAAAATGGGGGTGATTTTGAAGGAAGCCAAGCTGTCCAATACAATCACCATGCAGAAATGCAGCAGTTAACATACTCTTTCTGCCCACCTTCTCACCTCCCTCTGTGTTCTCCACAGGCCATCAGCTGTGCCTCACAAAGATCACAGTTCCTGCCTGCACCCTGTGTACAGCCAGCAGTTAAATGCCATAGACTCTTAGTAGTTATGTGTTCTTAGACTTTGAATATTTACTTTCTCATTATATTATATTTCTTGGGTTTTACCATGATCAGTGAACTCCAAAAAAAAAAAGGGAAAGCAAAAAAGATTAAGGAAAATAAAAGAACAGATATAGGCTGTGCAACTGGAGGACTACACTAGTCTCAGTTCATAGAAATTAGAAGCAATATAATTTTCTTTTCTAAAAAGAATAAACAAATAAGATACAGCACTTTCTCTGAAAATAAGATCTTTGTCTTTGGAAATGTTCGAGAAAAATCTGTATCCCACTTAATAGTGTTATCACCGGAGAAGGTGTTTTCATTGTTATGAGCTAATCTAGGTGGTTCATAAAGATCTAGAAGTTATATGTTTAAGGATGAGGTGGAACTCTATTTGATACTCTGTGGATTCATTTAACATTTACCCTCTTACATGTCAGTGGCCCAGATAAGTACTTCCAGAAGAGCTCTAGCCGAATTGGAGGTACTTATTGGAAAGTTCGATATGAAGCCTTCCAAGATGAGACATTCCAGGAAAGGGTACATCAAGAGGAAGAAGCACATCTCGGAATTCTGGGTGAGGAATCTTTAACTCTCAATATCCCTGAACTAGGAACAAAAGGAGGAGATTTTAATAACTTGAAACTGTTGGTGACTAAAGTAATGTGTAAATGCATCTTCCAAGTTGAATCCCAAGAAATAAGTGTTTGTAAAAAGTGTTTCAGATCTGAGAGTGTTTTAAAATCATTATCTTTTAAGCATAGTCAAATAGAGTTTTTCTGTAAGACTTTTGTTTATGATAAATGTTCAAGATGGAAATGGAAATTATATATCATTTCTCAAACTTTCACTAATAAAATGTTTTGGTACCACTCTCTAGTATCACTATGGTACATAGTACATTCTGTGAATTGCCTGGGTAGAGGTACTCCGAGGAATTATTTAAAAGCAGTAAGGCCATCCCAAATCCTGATAGTGTAGAGCCAGAAGCACACTCCTACCATGTATAGACATGTTCATTATTATTAGAGAAGAACTAGGCTTGTTGTATGATATTGGAGACTACATATAGAAGGTCCAAAGCACATTATTAATGCAGTTTAAGAAGGTTGGATGTGGTCTAATCCGTTCATAGAACCAAGAAATGAAGTATGTTTGGTGGGAGAAAAGTTTGGAAATAATATATTATTCCAGGGATATTTGTCTGCAGTTGACGCTGAATTAAAAAAGAATGATAAGCACTACATTAGCTGAACAGGAAAATAAATGTAAGGAGAAAATATCCCTAGAAAAGAGAGGTATTGGTTTATGTGAAGGCGATTTGGTTGGTCGGTGTTCTCTATATATACCAAGTCGTTCAGTTATAAAGACCATGTGGAAACTGAGATAGGAAACCAAGCTAGAAGGTCTGACCTTGGAGTCGAGCCACTATAAACAGTCTGGCTACTGTCTTTCTTGGCTGTCTTAAAAGTGACCCAAGTCAGGTTGGAAGTGATAATGAGTAGCAAAACACACAGAACTCCAGAAGTTTTGCCTAGACTACGTAGTCCCAGGGCTTTATCCTCTTTGCTTAGAATTTGGTTAAGATTTTAGTGAGCTCATATCTTAGATTGAATTTACCAGGTAGTATAACTATGGGATAACAGAGAATAAAGTCAGTACTGGCTGAATTGGATCTGACTGTGGTATAGAAGAAAGGCATGGCCTTAGGATCTGGCTTTGCAATTGCTGTTAGAATTTTTATAGGTCAACACTTCTTTCCTGACGTTATTTAATCTGTAAAATGGAGGCAATAACCTCTCCTACTATACCTTAGAGTAACATGTGAGAACCATAAGTGATAATGGATTTAATAGTGATTTTTATTATTATAAATAGCATGATGCTTACGATAGATTATTTTAAAAGGAAGCATTCTCTATCTTGTGTATATTCCATTACCTTTTCTCTCCCTACCCTTTTGTTTCCATTATTCATATTTGTTTTCATTCTCATGGTCTCTACTTTCCATTTGTCAGGACCAGTGATAAGGGCTGAAGTGGGTGACACCATCCAGGTTGTCTTCTACAACCGTGCCTCCCAGCCATTCAGCATGCAGCCCCATGGAGTCTTTTATGAGAAAGACTACGAGGGTACCGTGTACAATGATGGTGAGCTGGAAGGGTTTCCAACAATGTAGGCTGCAGGTGGCTCCAGAAGAAATAAAGAGTTGGTAGAAAGAGCAAAATTTGTGGTCATGTGAATGAATGAATGTCAGGATAGTGAAGCAGAGCCTACCTCAATAATAGAAAACTTTTTAAAAGTTTAGAAATGATCCTTGAACATATAGTCCTATAAAAAGTACTTTTAGAAGGCACAGGTATAGTGTAGTGATAGAGTTTATACCCTGCATTTGCAAAGTCCACAGTTCTATTCTCAGAAACAAAATAAAAATACACTTAGATATATTCTTATTATAAACTGTATACACCATGAACTTTTAAAAAACAAATACATAAAATTATAAAACAATCATCATTCATAGACAAACTGTCATATGCATTTTATATGCCATTTAATATTTTTCTGTCTGTAATTATATATTTAAGAAATGAGATGATATGATTTGAACATTTTTTTCATTATACTTTGGTCTACATTACATTGTATCTGTCTATGATCATAATACATTTTACTAACCGTCTAACACTCTTTGACATGGATTTTTACTTTTGCTTGTGTTGCTCAGGCATATATGTTTTTAGTAGTTTTAAATATTGCTCATTTAAATAGTAACATGAGTGTTTATACCCTAATTTCATGGGGGGGTTACATCACATGACAGACAGAATCCTATTAGTGGTATTACTCTGCAACTAATTTCTTATTTTCTCTGATGATGTTTTCACATGCCCAGTCTAAGATAAACATGTAAAAAGCACTGAATGCATAAATATCAAAGTTACAAACAAATATAAAAGAACTTTCCATGAGGCATTCAGATCTTGTTCTTTTCTGAAGTCAATACTGTGAAGGAGGGGGCAGGGTTACACAGGTAACAACCAAATGCATCCTGCAAACTTCTATTGATCCTTGATGCACAAATAGCTTAAAGAGTCATTCAGAATCCAGATATGAGTGCGCACATGTAATACTAGTACTTCAGAGGCTGTCAGAATATTTACAAGCTTGAAGCCACCCTGGTGCTATTAAACATGTTTGGTGTGATGGCTCATGTCTATGATCACAGAAGCTGGGAAACAAAGGAGGATTGCCAGGAAGGGTGTAGCTATCCTGGGCTGCTACTTGGTTCCAGGCTAGCCTGTGCTGCCTAGTAAAATTCTGTCACAAGAAAATTTAAAAAGTGAAACAAAGCAGAAACTTTGAGGATAACTTAAAAAGTTTGGGCAAAGATTAGTCCTTGAATGGTATTAAGAAATTTCTTAGCTGTGATAATGCTGTTCTGATAAAACAGAAGACAAATTTTAAGGTTTATTTTTCCCATTTTATTAGTTCTTTAAGAGTTTCATACAATGTATTTTGATCATATGCACTCCCTCCACCCATTACTCCCAGATCCATGCCTACTTCCCTACTAACCCAACTTAGTATATTAAGAAAACAACAACAAAAAAGACCCAGCTCCCATTTGTGTTGCACATATACTTTGGATGTGTATCCTTCACTGGAAGGTCTTCAATCCATCAGGGGCTCCACACTTTAAGAAAACAAACTCTCTCTCCCCAAGCAGGCAATAGCTTTTTAGCTATGTGTAAGACTTTGTATTTAATTCCATTCTCCAAGATGGAATTTAGTCTGGCCTGAGATTGTGCAGGTCTTATACATGCTCTCTCAGCTGTTATGAATTCACATGTGCAGCTACCCTGCTGTGTTCATCTTGTAGCCATCCTCCACCTCTGCCTCTTAGGTTATTTCTGCTCCCTTTCTGCAATGATTTCTGAGCCTTGGATATAAATGTTGTGTTTAGGTCTGAGTAACATCCAGTCTCTTTTTCTGTATACCTTGACCAGTTGTGAGTTACTGTGTTAGTCACTATCTACTGCAAAAATGTTTCTCTGATGAAGGTTGAGAGATGCACCAATCTCTTCATAGAAAAATACATTAGACACTAGGAGTGAGTTTCATATTATACCAATTTAGCAGAATGATGGTTGTCGCACGCGCCTCGACCAGCAAGGAAGACTCAACACCCAGACTCTTCTTTAAGCAGTTTATTCAGGAAACCTTGAACAATCTTCTTTTCCCGGGGGAGCGCCAACCCACAGCTTAAAAGCCCTTGGGGGGCCAACCCCAGTATGCCACATGGAACATGCAGATAGGTCCACGTACGCAGAAGCAAGCCTGATATCCAGCCTTAACCAAATACAGGTGTTGTTTATCACAGAGAGCACCTGCTGTCGGGCTAGCAGAAGGTGGAAGCCAGTGCCATCTTAAGGGTGAGGCACTTTGTAGCTCTCTACAGTTCCCCCTTTTTTGTTTTAAACGCAACAGGCAAGAGTAGAGGTCTGATCTCTGACATAGACAGGGACATTGTACTGCTTTCTCATTTGGTGTCATCCACCCAACGAGCATCAGACCCGTTGGATACCCTTTTTTTTCAGAGGCTGGACGTTTTTGAGGCGGGATGTTCTTTGGGTACCTACCCGCATGCAATCAGACGTGCTCTTCTCTGGGTCACTATTAGCTGACTCAGAGTGCAGTGCTTTGCCTTGCATCCTGATCTTGGAACACATGGAAAGCAAGCCGTAATTCCATACGTACTTGCTTCCATGTCCCTGGAAAAAAGGACCATCCAGAGCATGGACCCTGAGTAGGCTGTTCCACTTCCTGGTATGGCAGTGGAGCAGTAGGTCTGCAACAGCCCTTCACTTCAATACCTGTCATAGTTTTTTTCTTTTTCCCTTTTCTTTTCCTTTTTCCTGCAAGCCACTTGCATGGCTGGTAGACTGGGTAGCATTTAATGAGTAGAGGGGTAAAGCGACTAATACCACACTGGCTGTAATAGATTCTAATCAGGGCAGCATTAACTGGCTAAAATAGGCCCAGGTGGTGTGAGGCAGCTGGAGAAAGCTGAGTAGCATTAGTAAGGTAGTAAGTTATTATATATTAAGTTGACCGCTTCACTAATCGCAGTGGGAAAAGACATGCCAAGCCTGCAGTGAGGGAGGGGAAAGTAAGAACATTGATCTCAGCTGGCCTGTGCTTCTAACATTGATCTCAGCTGGCCTGTGCTTCTGCTTGTACAGTTACCTTTAATGGTCCAAACTGCTTCGTGCTGGAAGGGGGCGCTGTTCATACCATAGGGATCATGACAAAACTCAGAAACCTGTATAAGTCCTTACTTTTGGGGTCTGTAAAGCTGTATCATCTTAGCTGTTTCAGTTGTTGGAACACCTGGCCCACTGTTTCCGGGGGTCTTGGTTCATTAAACCACAGAAGCCTGGAAGGAATCCTTAGCTTTTAATTTTCTGTAGAAACATAAACAACAACTCCTTTCCAAAGTAACATATCTTTAAATTTTGAAGTCAAGGCATTTTTAAAAGATATAAGTTGAATTAATTCAGCAGCATTTATAATCAAGTGTACTTTAGCAGTTGTTCCTTCCTAAGCAATCAAAAACTGAAAAACACAATAGCATTCAGTATCCAGACTTTCTGTGTATTTTCCATATTGTTCCTTGGTCCCATGCAAAATCAAGATCTCTCCCTAACTTCCAAAAATCTTAAATTCTTAGAACCAAGCAGCTCATTCAGAGCCAAAAAAAAAAAAATTGGGTGCGACTGAGAAACGCCCATAGCCAAAGTAACAATGTTTCTTTTAAGCTTTTACTTTGGTTCACTGCTAGCCAAACTAACAATGTTTCTTTCTCTCTCTCTTTCTTTCTTTCTTTCTTTCTTTCTTTCTTTCTTTCTTTCTTTCTTTCTTTCTTTCTTTCTTTCTTTCTTTCTTTCTTTCTTTCTTTCTTTCTTTCTTTCTTTCTTTTTTTTTTTTTTTTTTTTTTTGGTTTTACGAGACAGGGTTTCTCTGTTTTGGAGGCTGTTGGTCCAGCCTGGCCTCGAAATCACAGAGATCCGCCTGCCTCTGCCTCCAAGCTTTTACTTTCGGTTTGCTGCTAGCCAAACTAACAATGTTTCTTTTAAGCTTTTACTTTCGGTTTGCTGCTCGGTGAACCGTTTGTCCCACTCTCTCTTTACCTACAGAGAAGAGCAAACCAACCGGCTCTTGTAGCGGTCCCTTTTTTACTCCACTCTTGTTGCGGTCCCTTTTTTGTCTCACCTTACCTTGGGAACTTACCAGACCGCTGCCTTGACTGCAAAAAGTTCTGAGTCAGTTGGAAAAGACTCCCCTTACAGGCCACCATTTGTCGCACCCTCTTTGACCAACAAGGAAGACTCAACACCCAGACTCTTCTTTAAGCAGTTTATTCAGGAACCTTAAACAATCTTCTTTTGCCGGGGAGCGCCAACCCACAGCTTAAAGGCCCTTGGGCGGCCAACTCCAGTATGCCACTTGGAACATACAGATAGGTCCACGTATGCGGAAGCAAGCCTGATATCCAGCCTTAACCAAATACAGGTGTTGTTTATCACAGAGAGCACCTGCTGTCAGGCTAGCAGAAGGTGGAAGCCAGTGCCATCTTAAGGGTGCGGTACTTCGCAGCTCTCTACAGATGGCAATAGGTTCTCTCCTATCATCTGTCACTTGACTATTCGCAGGATCTTGGCCCCAATAATGGTTATAGCTATGGCTTTCAACTTGAGGGGCAGGCCTTAAATCCAATCACAATGTAGTTGGTTATGCCCATAGCATTAATGTGCAAGTGGCATGTTTTGCTAGGCTGGTTATTGTTGTAGCTCGTAGGGTTCGAAGCTAGGTGAGGTTGGTTCCTTTTCTCTTCCTCTGTCATTCGTATCACCACCTAACATAACAGCTAACCAGTAGATGTGAAATTTCCAGGTGTATCAGCTTGATTTTCCATGTCCTATGACTCAAGTGTATGGTGGCTTCATCAACAGAGCTTTGCTATCTAGTTCTGGGTGGTAACCAAAAACATTTCTAAGAAACTTTAATATTTAGAGGTCAACGGAACATTACTTATCAAAATTTCCAAAAGCGATAACTCATTCCTTTCACTGGACTTATTTGTTGG